GGGGCGGGCATGGTTTGTGGGGCGCAGCTGTGAGCGCATATGCAAGGTGCATGGGCTGTACGGGGGATCTGGTGGCCGGGAGGATCTTCATTTTTACATACGACGAGCTGTGATGTTTGGGTGAGCCAGCAGCTGGCAGACCGCTCGCAATGCCCTGCGCGCCTCAAGCGCGCCCTACTGCTCTGCCGCCCTGGCTCCTTTCCCCAAGGCCCCAAGGCGGCGCCCCTGCGCCAGGCGTGCGTGCGGGCGCCCAAAGTGGTGGACACGACCGGCGCGGGCGACTGCTTCACCGCGGCGTTTGCCGTGGCGGTACTGGAGGGCCTGGAGCCGCAGAGCGCGCTGCTGTTCGCGTCCGCGGCGGCGAGCATCTGCGTCCAGCGGCCGGGCGCGATCCCGAGCCTGCCGACCGCCGACGAGGTGGAGGCGCTGCTCGCGAGATTGTAACCAGCGCTTTCCGGTCCTAGACACGTTGCTCCCGGTGATAGAACCGTAGCCACGCTTCCGGCAACCCCGTCCTCCTCCCAGCCCCCACCGCGCACGCAACCAGGTGTGCCTGCACATTGCATCGCGCGCATTCACACACACACACACACACACACACACACACACACACACATTCTCTCTCTCTCTCTCTAGAGAGAGAGAAGGTTGATATATGAATGTCGGCTGAAGGGGTCGTACTGCATCATGCGTTACTGCATCATGCGTTCCCGAACTGGTGCTGCGAGAAAGTTGTGTTGACCTGAGTCGCCTTGCCCCACGCACACTGTGCTCGCCAGGCGTTCGGGCCGGAGCCGGCAATTTATGTATACATCTGCTCCTCACGTTGTTACGGACAGTGCTTCCGACCCAACACCGGCAAGCATGGACATGGTCAACTAGAGCAAGCGTCTGTCGTGACCATGTCGTGACAACCAGCCGCCCGATGCCCGCAGTGCACTGTGTATGGAGCACGCCAGGCCGCGCATATAGCTAATAGCTTGCATGTGCATTTTGCTTGCGATTCTTGCAATCTTACGCGTTGCTTGCAATCGCTCAATCCAATGGAACGATGATCTGCCGACCAGCGGGGCGAGTATGCGCGAGTCGCAAGCTTACAAAAGAAGCTTGTCGTAGTAAATTGACGATCGCACGCGCCGGCAAGACAAGGGGATGGCGAGTGCCGTGGCAACGGGCTCAATCTGATGAGTATGAAACAGAGTATGAGACTGTGTATGTCACAGAGACAGAAGGCAATGCTGGAGAGGATCTGCGAGGACCGCAGGTCGCGGCAGGTGCTGCATTTGCGCCGACGGCAGCGGCAGCAGCGGCACCAGCTAGAGCTGAAGCTGCGGGGCGTGCTGCTTCATCTGTGCCTGAGGCCACGGTGCGAGCTTCAAAACAATAAAATGCATTATGATTGCGGGGTCAAGCATTGCTCATGCAGCCTGCAGTGCACACGTGCTAAGGTGTCAACACATTGCGGCTGTGCAGGTGACGGCGGGTGTGACTGCCCCAGCAGCCAGCGGCGCGCTCATTGCCCCTTACAACGCAGCCCTGCAGCCTGCGCCCTCGATTGCCGCGCCCGAACGGACGTTGCCCGCCGCCATCGACGGCAGCCCCGCCGCCGGCTGGGCGCTCGCCCTGGCGTTCCTCGTGTCGGTCCGAGCGGGCCGCCGCTCCGCCGCCGCCGAGCGCCTCGACGCCGCCGCGCTGCAGAGCCGGCAGCAGGAGAGCCGCGTGCAGGGGCGGGAGCTGCGGGAAAAGCGGCGGCAGTACCTGGAGCAGCAGCGGGTGCTGAAAGAGGAGGAGGCTGCCAAGAGGTGGGGTTGTGTGTGTGTGTGTGTCTGTGTCTGTGAGATTGTGTCTGTACGTGCGTGCGTGCGTGTGTGCAAGTGTATGTATGTGTGTGTGTGTGTGTGTGTGTCTGTGAGATTGTGTCTGTACCTCTGACCCTGAACCCTTTCCCGCCAGGCTTGAGGAGAACAAGCAGCGCGCGGCGCGCGAGGCGGCGGAGCGCGCGGAGCGGCGGGCGCGCGAGGCGGCCGAGTCCGCAGTGCAGCTCGAGCGCATTCGCCGCGAGAGGGAAGCTGCGCGGCAGGTAAGGGCCCGCTGCTGCGGGGGCGCCGAGCGGGCTGCTTCTTTTCATCCGCCTCGCCTGGGGGCTCTGCGCCGCCGGCAGCAGGCAGCAGTTGGAACGCACAGCAGCTGACAATTCAAACGATCACACCGCAACAGCCTTTGGGCGCGCCTCGCGGCTGCCAAGCTGGGTTCTTGCAATTACGCACGGTGGTTGCCAAGGGCCGCTCGCTCCTGCTGCCGCCGCCGCTGCCGCTGCCGCACCGCCGCCGCAGGCGTTCGAGCGCGGCGAGTCGCAGCTGGGCGAGGAGCTGGCGCGGCGCATCCAGCAAGAAGAGGCGGTGCTGCGGGAGAAAGAGCGGCAGAGGGCCGAGGCCGAGGCGGCCGCGTGGTGCGGGGGGTCCGGCGGCTGCGGGCGCCACATGCTCCGCCGTTGACGCGGGCGCGCGAGCGTGGGTAGTCGCGCGCCGAAGTCGGCGTGAAGCGCTTGCACCTGTAGGTGTTCGTCGCGCCCCAGCTGGGAGTGTGATCACATCTCTAATTGGCTGGTCTCTTCCATGGGCGACTCCAAAACGTCGAGCAGGGCGGCAGCCGAAGAGGCGCGAATGGCGGAGGAGGCCGCGGCCCGCCGGAGGGAGGAGGAGGCGCGGCGCGCGCGCGAGGAGGCGGAGCGAACGCGGCTGGAGCGGCGGCGGCGGCTGAGGGCGCAGGAGACGACGTGAGCGGCCGGTCGGGCGGGGAAACCAGTGCACACGAGACCTCCATTTTGGGCACGTTGTGTGTTGTGGTGGTGGTGGTGGGGAGCGGAGCGGAGCTTTGGATGCAGCCGCAGCCTGCCTCATGCGATCATGCGCAGGCCTCAGCATGGGCCGCGCCTTAGTCAGATCGCAAGGCACCCTGCTCATTGTTGTCAATGAAGAGACGCCTGCTCTGCAATCCTGACTGCCTTGATCAATACGCCCCAGGTACGAGCTCGAGCTGCGTGGTGTCGCCACCGCGGGCCCCGCGCCGCCAGGCAGCATGGCAGGCGGCAGCGGCGGCGTCGGCGGCCGCCTGCTGCTCGCACGGCTGCAGGTCACATTCGCCCTGGAGGCGGCCGCGCCAGGCGGCGGCAGCAGTAGCAGTAGCGGCAGCAGCAGCAGCAGCAGCAGCAGCAGTAGCTTAAATAATGAAAGCGGCAGCGGGAGCGGTGTGGGTGGTGGCGGCGGCGGCGGTGGCGGGGACGGGGACGGTGTTTTTGCGAGCGGCAGCCTCACAAGGCTGTACGACTCGCCAGAGTCTGCTGTGGAAGACGCCGGCGACCTGGCAGGTACGCACCTGCCGCCAGCGCCGCCCCCCACCCTCGCCCTCTGACTGCCCAGCTTCATCTCACCCCTGGCCACCCCTCAGTGTGTGTGTTGGCGACCCTGCGTGGACGCTGACACTCAATGGCGCCGATTGCTGCACACTGACGTGGTGGATGCGCCCCAATGCACGCCTCGCCGCCCCTGAAACCAACCCAGGGGAGGCCGCTAGCGTCATAACCGCCCGCCTGGAATCGGACCCCTCCACCGCCCCCGCCCGCCCGCCTTCCGCGCCCGGCGCCGCGCCGGCCGCGCTGCGCTACCCCGAGCTGCGGCTGTGGCAGTGGCTGCTCGCGCTGGCGGCCGAGGCGGCCGGGCGGCGGGCGGTCGGGCAGGTGGCGCCGCTTGCGACCAATGGCGCCCTGCAGCAGCCGTTTGTGGTCAGCAGCCGGATCGGCGTGCTGCCCGAGGACGACCCCTCGTCCGCCGGCCGCATGCTGTCCCTCGCCGCCGCGCACGCTCGCGCCGGGCGCGCGGAAGCCGCCGCGCAGCTGCTCGACGACCTGATAGACCGGCTGCAGGAGGGCGCGGCGGCGGGCGGGGCGGGTGTGGGGGGAGGGAGCGCGCCGCTGTCGTCAATCTTGGTCCCGGCTTGCGTGTATGCACAGCTGCTCGACTCATGCGAGGATCCCTTCCTGGATTCCGCCCCGACGCCGGCGCCGTCAGGGGCCGACGGCAGCGGCGGCGATAGCGACGGCGGCGGCGAGCTTGGCGGCGGCGGCGGGAAGGCGGGGGAGGGGGCGGGCGCTGGCGACGCGCTGCGGCGGCTGGTCGCTTTCCAGCTGAAGGAGCGCGCGCAAGCGGCGCCGCGCGACTCGCTGGCGGCGCCGTCCGCGGCGCTGGCACGGCTGCTGGGCGCGCGCCACCCTGTGGCGCGCGCGCTGGCTGAGCTGGCGGAGGCCAACATGAGCCCCGCGGCGCGGCAGGCGCGCGAAGTGCGGCGGCAGCAGCAGGCGGCGGCGGCGTCCATGGATTTGCTAAAGGTGTGCACCGTCGCCATGCAGCGCCGGGACCCTTGCGCTGCGGCGCGGCCGGTTCCGGCGGCTGCTGGCGCTTTCTGCTGGCAGATGCTGCTGCTGCAGCTGCCGCACGCGCCCGAATCTCCCGAGAAATACCTCGGAAACATCCGATTTGCGAGGCCGCCCGCAGGGTCAGCCACCACCGCAGACACCGCGAGCCCCTCCCACCCCACCCTCCACGCCGCAGCAACAAGGGTCGCTGCTCGCGGCGCCCGGCGGTCTGGACCCCTCGACTTCCAAGGCCCGGGGCGCGCCCGTGCCCGAGAAGGCCTGGGCAGCGCGCAACGTGGCGCGCAGCCTGGTGGCCGGCGGCGGGGCGGCGGGGGCCGACGAGGGGGTGCGGATGCTGCGGGAGGCGGCCGCGGAGTGCGAAGAGTACTATGGCGCCAACCACCCAGGTTCGGTTCCTAGGGAGGGGCTTTTTTTCTCTCCTCAGCGCCTCTCTGTCCCTTGCCACTGCATCGCAGCGGAGGGTCGCGCCTGGGCAGGAAGCGAAGCTTGTCGCGGTGTGCTGAGCGATGGCACCACAGCCTGCACTCGAAAACGGTGGAAGTCCTGCCAGGCACCCCTGCGCCCCGCCGCCTCTCGCGCGCGCTCGCACCCCTGACGGCCCCGCCGACCCTCACGCACGTGCGCGCAACCGGGCGGCGCCCCCTAACCGCCACAGGCCAGCTGTCGACGCTGCTGGACCTGATCGACGCCCTGATGGCGCTGAGTCAGCACCGCCCCGAGGCCCGCGAGGAGGCGGCGGCCGCCATCCGCCGCGCGCTTGCTGTCGTGCAGGTGCTCCATATCAACATGCATTTTACCGTTTGACCTCTGATGTCAAAGGCACTGGATGCTGATTGCCTGGATTCCACTTGTGAGCGCCCTCATGTTGCTTTTGTTGCTCACAGCCCTCAAACAAGAACCAAACATCACCAGCATGCCACGCCGCGCGCAGGCCGTCGGCGAGCGGTACCGGGCCCAGGGGGATCTGCTGTCTCTGGCGCTGCTGTACGAGAGCGCCCAGGCCGAGCTGGACTACCCGCAGGTGAGAATTTTTTGGTGGGAACTTCTTCGCGGACCCACTTCCTGGTGAACCTCCTCTTACGGGTGGCAAGAAGTCGCACAAGAACTGCGCGCTAAACGAGCAGCAGGCCTCTTGCCTGAGCGAGCGATGCGGGGCGCCCAGCAATGCGCCGCCGGCTCGCGACATCACACACCCGCCTGCGCCGCAGGTGCTGCCGCGCGGCGACCCCGCCATGGCGCGCCTGGTGCAGGAGGCGTCGGACGCGTTTGCTGCGCTGGAGACCGGCCAAGCCGGGCGGGTGCGTGGGTGGTTGGGGCGCGCGCAGCATACAAAACGCCGCACCTCACAACAACGTATGCTGTCCCTCCCCCCCATCTAAGTTTCATCGATGCTCCATCCAGCACCACGCCTGCAGCCTGGCTGGATCGTCGCTCCTTCTATTACAGCGTGCCGCACTCAATTGGAAGCGCACTGCTGCTGTCATGTGCCCATCCGCACCAACCATGATATTCTGCCGTAGGTCATGTCCAAGCGCCAAGTGCCAGCAGGCAGCCCCACGAGCCCGCTGCGGCTGCTGGCCAGGGACTGCACCGAGCAGCCGCTGGTGCAGCGCGCGTCGCGGCGGGCGCCGACGCGGCTGGATCAGTGGGGCAGGGGGCTGCCGCTCGCGCCGCTCGCGTGACTCGCGGCGGTGCGGGGCGCGGTCGCTGCAAAGCAAGCCCCGTGGGCGTCTCTGCATTTGTATTGTGCACGGTTATGACTGGCGCACGCCGATGTGGAACGGCAAGCAGGGGCTGCGCACTCCCATCAAGTGAAGAACAAGGCACCCGCCAAACCCCACAAATTGGACAGCAGTCTCTGGGGCAGGGACGGGCCAACAAGGGGGACAGCATTCGAAAACACATACATATACCCAGGCAACGTATCACCTAGAAGCTTGTGCCGCCATGGCTCCTTGCGATGTGGCCAAAGGTTTGTAGGTTTGGATGCGGCTGGGATGTCACAACAACCGCAACGGGGTCACCAGGGTCACCGCCACAGCGAGGTGAACTGCGGCAACCAGTGTACCCGCGGTACAACAACTCTCGAGAGTATCTCGACAAGTAATCGACGCCGAGATATGATCGCTTGGTGCAGCCGTCAGATTTGGCGCAACCCGTTTTGTCTTTTTGTCACACCGCGGCAGCCGCAAAGCGTCGCATAGCATTCGTGTAAAAGCCATGCAGCGCTTAGCTGCGCTTGTCGCAGGCGCCGCGAGGCGCCGCTCCGGAGGCAGCGACTGCTGGGGAATCGCCGCCACGCTGCGCGCTTTCGGCAGCAGCCCGTCGCCCGCCGCCGCCGCCGCCACGCCCGGCGCAGCCCCCAGCGGCGCCGTCGACCCGTCGCGCATCCGCAACTGGTGCATCTGCGCGCACGTTGACCACGGCAAGACGACGCTGTTTGACCGGCTGCTGGCGCAGTGCGACGTTTCCCTCTCGGGCGAGAGGGCGATGGACAGCGGCGCGCTGGAGAAGGAGAGGGGCATCACCATCCTCAGCAAGGTGTGCGCGCATGCACGGCCGCGGCGACGCACGGTGCATGCACCAGGACCCACCCCCCAAGGGGCACCTAAATCGCCCGCTGCACGGAATTTGTTTCGTGTCTGATCAGACGCCCTCCAAAGACTCTCCAAAGAATGGGAAACGGTAGCTGGTGGGGGGGGGGGGTCTGGGCGCTTCCAGGGGTCGCGTCTGTATGGCAGCGGCGCTTCAGAGCGCCTGCACGCGCCGGCCGCGGCCGTCTCGCGGAGCGCGGGGGTGGCGATGCTTTGGACCAGCGCAGAATGGGTCGCCGCGCTGCTGACCCCCCGGCCCCTTCCACAGGTGACGAGCTTCCATTACCAGGGGCATCTGATCAACGCGCTCGACACCCCGGGGCACGCAGACTTTGGCGGTGAGCGGCACGGGCCGGCGGCGTGGGCCCGGGCCGCTGCAAAGTTTGCGAGGGAGGCGGCTGTGGACGGCGTGCTGCTGCGCTGCCGCGCCGCAACGTGGCCGGCCTGGGACTCGAGGATGCGGCGGCTGCAATGTGCATATCAATGTATTCGTCATCACTGAACCCTTTGACTGTCGGACTTCTCCGCAGGCGAGGTGGAGCGCGTGTTGTCGATGGTCGATGGCGCGGTGCTGCTTGTGGACGCAGTGGAAGGTGCGCGGAAGCTGCGCGGAAGCCATGTCAAAACTGCTTATCCACACGGTGCCGCACCCAGCGGGGCCGCTGGCGGCGTCCGACAGCGGGCATCAACAGGTCATGCGGCCGGCGTGGCGCCCCTGCCCTGCGCCGGCCCCTCCGAAACCCTGTCGCCGCCCCGCACTCGGACACAACCCAGGGCCCCTGGCCCAGACCAAGTTTGTGCTAAGCAAGGCCCTGGCGCGCGGCCTGGCCCCACTGGTGGTGTTGAATAAGGTCGACAGGCCGGCAGCAACACAGGCGGGTGGTGCTGTGTGGTCGCCAGAAAGGGGGGGGGCACAGTGCAGGGACGGAGGTGGGCAGAAGGGGCGCGGGCTCAGCGCTGCCCGCGGATGCTGGGCCACCGCTGTCCAGCGATGCAGGGGCTGCTCGTGTTTAGCTTCCAGCAAATTGGGTGGCCGCCCGCCTTGCCTTGCCCCGCCCTCCGCCCCGGCCCCTGTCCCCATCCCCGCCGCCCATGGCTTGCCTGCGCCTCGCCTCACGCCGAAGCGCCGCTGCCCACCACTTGCTGCCCCCCTCCCCCCCAAAGGCGCGCTGTGACGCCGTGGCCAGCCAGCTGTTTGACCTGTTTGCAGCCCTGGGGGCCAGCGACGCGCAGCTGGACTTCCCGGTGCTCTACGCCTCCGCAAAGCAGGCGCGCCACCGGAAGCGCCGCGCCCGCGCCGCGACTGCACCTGCCGCCGCCGCCGCCCCGATCCACTGCAAACCCGACACATCGGCACGCCGTGGGGTCCCCACTCATCAAAGCTTCTGTCACCCTTTTTTCCTGGCTACGATTGTCAGGCATTGTCTGCTGTAGCCGGGGATCTATCCAACCTCTTGCGTCGCCTGCAAGCCACCGAATCCGCCACCCCTCCTTTGCTGGCCGCAGGGCTGGGCGTCGCCCACGCTGCCGCCGCCGGGCGCGCCGCCCCCCACGTGCGGCATGGCGCCGCTGCTCGACGCCATCGTGCAGCACGTGCCGCCCCCGAAGGTCGACTCCGCGGCCCCCTTCTCGCTGTGCGTGGCCATGATAGAGCGCGACCCATACGTAGGCCGCCTCGCCACCGGCCGCGTCGCCTCCGGTCGTGCGCGCGTCGGCGACCGCGTCCGCGTGCTGCAGCACCCCGGCGGCGGGGGCGCGGTAATCGACGAGCTGCGGATCACCAAGATCGAGAAGCGCGTCGGGCTGTCCAAGGTTGCGCTGTCCGAGGCTGTGGCGGGGGACATCGTGCAGGTCGCGGGGCCGGGGGACGCCGCCGGCATCGCCGACACCATCGCGGCGCCGACGGTGACGCAGGCGCTGGACCCGGGGCCGATCGACCCCCCGACACTCAGGTGCGGGTGGCCCGGGCAGAGGGCGCCGCAGCGGGCGCGCGATTCCAGTGTCGTGGCCGTCCGCGCAGGCGCGGGCGCCACAGCACCGGTGTCGCCGCTCGGCATGGGCACGGCTGGCAAGCGCAGTCCGCAGCCCCAACCAGAGGTGATCAGTGTTGAAGTCCTCAACATTGCAAGCTTGCAAACGCCACACCGCCCTTCTTCAACCACTCATCTTATTCATCTTGGCCGCTTGCATGCTCATCACCCACCCCCACCCAACCCACCCCCAGCATGGTGTTCTCAGTCAATGACTCCCCTTTGGCGGGCAAGAGCGGCAAGGCGGTGACGTCACGCGCCATCGGGGAGCGGCTCATGGCGGAGGCAGAGGGCAGTGTGTCACTCAAGGTCACGCCCCTACAGGTGAGAGGGCGGTCCCACACCTTCCCCCGCCCCACCACACACGCTTTCTCACACACACACACACACACGCACACACACACACACACACACGCGCGCGTGCGTGCGCGCACGTGCGCGCGCACACACACACGCGCGCGTGCGCACGCGGCGGGCGGCGCCATTAATCCTTGGCAAGAATGTGTTCCACAATCTTGTCTGAAACCGTCCGAAATCCGGGGGATCGGCGCCTGGGGCCAACGCTGGTCCGCTGCTCGCTGTCGCACTCCGCCGCGCAAACCTCTGCTTCTCTGTGGGTCCAACGTGCGTTTCCAACGTGCCGGTCGGGGGAGCGCAGGGTGCCACCGAGAGCTACGAGGTCCGCGCGCGCGGGGAGCTGCAGCTGGGGGTGCTGATCGAGGGGCTGCGGCGCGAGGGCTTCGAGTTCAGCGTGTCGCCGCCCACGGTGGTCATGAGGTGCGGCCGGGGGCGGCAGGCGCCGGGCGCGGCGGCCGCTGGGGGCGCGGCAGCTTCCTCCTGGTTTGCTGGGCAAGGGGCGCGCGCGCCTGGAGGCTGGGCGCGGGCAGCGGGGCCGCTCGCCGCGCGCGGGGGGTCAATTCAGATGTCCTCATGCGCGTGCGGGAAGATGGGGACGTCAAGCCTGGGAGGGGCGCTGGTCTTGCCGGACCTGCCAGGGGCGCTGGCCCCTCTGCGAGGCTGCAGCCAGGCGGCAGCGGAGACCCTCAGCCACAGCCCTAGCCGCCCCAGCTGCGAATCCCATTCGCGTGCATCTGCTCCCCTGCAGGCAAGAGAATGGTCAGCGCATGGAACCCATAGAGGAGGTGGTGGTAGAGGTGAAGGGCAGGGGCAGGGGGCAGGGGCTGGTGCCTGCGATGCGAGGAGGCGAGCCGCGAGCGAGAGCAGCGCCGCAGGCGCATTCGCAGAGCGCCTGCGACGTGCGCCAGTGCGGCTGCGGGGCGCGTGGGGGGCCGCGGGGGTCGCATGCACACGCACGCCTGCCCGGCGACCGCTCGGTTTGGCAGCCTCGGCTGCCGGCAAGGCGGCACAACCTGGCGCCTCATCACAAAGTGTCCGACTAATTTCACATCAGATGATTACAAGCTGTCCTGCGTCGCTCTGGGGTCAACCTGTTGGTACTGACAACTGACAAGCAATTGACGCACAAGCACCTCCCTCACGTGTCTTTAGACCAGCAACCTGCCTAACCCACAAGCATCATGACCCCACCCCTCAGGTGAACGACGAGCACGCTGGCGCCGTCATCGAGGCGCTGGGCCTGCGGCGGGGGGAGCTGCTCGAGATGGGGCCGGCCGCGGGCGCGGGCGCCGGGCCGGAGGGCAGCAACAGCGGCGGGCGGCAGCGGCTGGCGTTCGTGGTGCCCTCACGGGGGATGATCCAGTTCAGGTGGGCTGCAACCTGCGGTGCACCAGCACTGGGCCAGCAGACCGGCAGGTCCCAGTAGTCCACCGTTTTTCTGGTCAAAGTCTTATCAAACCCTGAGGTGACTGGTCCAACTGCAGTGCAGTGGCAGCACAGCAAGGTATGCCGAACGGACGTTGGCGTCGATTGATGTCATACAGCATCCCACCCATCCTTGCTGAGTCGGTGCGGCACTTGCTGCACAAGCACAAGCGCACGCGCCGCAAGATCAACCCCGCCGCCCCTGCTGTCCCCCCCCCTCCAAGGGCCGCGTTCATCGGCATCACCCGCGGCGAGGGCCTGCTGCAGCGCGCGTTCCTGCGGTATGCGCCCTACACTGGCGCCATCACCAGCAGCCGCAAGGGCGCCATCGTCTCCACCGCCATCGGCAAGGCGCGCGCCCTAGAGGGGGTGGAAAGAGGCGCTCGGCCGCGCCGGCGGTGTTGTACCTTTTTCGTACTGGAGGGGGCAGGGCGCGACGGCTGGCAAACCAACGAGCAGCAGGCCGCTTGTGGCCCCAGCGACGCGCGCTGTCGACGGTGCCGTTGGTTTCGCGCACATGCTTGCCTTTTCTCCCCCCTCTCGCAAAACGCATCGCCCGCATCGCCCTGCAAACGAAATGGTCAGCCTGCAATCCAACCCCAACAACACCCAAAGCTTGGCCGACGCGCACCAACCCCCAGAACCCTAAACCCTAATCCTAAACCCTGAACCCTGAACCCTGAACCCAGGCCACCCTGTACGCCCTGGATGACCTGGCGTCCCGCGGCACCTTCTTCGTGGCCCCCGGGGATGACGTGTACGAGGGCATGGTCATAGGGGAGGCCAACCGGCCCGCCGATATCACTGTCAACATCACTCGCGAGAAGAAGCTCACAAACGTCAGGTGTGCTTGCGGTCTGATGCTTTGTGTAGGGAGAGCGGGCTTTTGTGCGTGTGTGTGTGTGTGTGTGTGTGTATGTGTGTGTGTTGGGGGGAGGCTGCACGCTCAAATTGTGGTGCAGCAGGTTGATGATTGTCCCCTCCTTTGCAGCCCTGCCCGAGTCGATCCCCAATGCGCCCGCTCTGCCTGTCCCCTGTCCGCCTTTGAACCCCATCCGTCCGCCCGCGGCGCGCCCCCTCCCCAAGGAGTGTTGTGGCCGATGATAAAATGCTGATCGCGCCGTGCCGCCAGATGTCCCTGGAAGAGGCGATCGGATATGTGAGGGGCCGTCAGGGTTTGGGGTGCACGCGCCGCTTGCTCTTGCACTTCCGGCCGCGCGCGCAGACGCAGACGCCCTGTCCCTGGGATGCCGCCCATACAACGAGCGCGCCTTGGGTCTGCCTGCTGTGACATCCTGGCGCAAACACAACGGACGCCTTGGCTGCTGTTGTGCTCGTCCCCAACACACGCACACAAACACACACACTCATGCACACTCAACCTCACGCATGTATGTACGCACGCACCCCGCAAGCCCGTGCCATCCTATGAATCACAAACCTCACCAATACTACCACCACCGCCACCGCCACCGCCCCCCAGGTGGAGGAGGACGAGCTTGTAGAGGTCACACCAGGCAGGGTGCGCATACGCAAGGTGGTGCTCGACTCGAATCAGAGGGCGCGCGCCGCAAAGCGCGCCGCCGTGCAGGCGGAGGCCTGACCGAGGCAGCGTGCGCGGGGCCTCGGACCCCACCCCGGCGCAAGCCTGCGCAGCCCTCCCGCCGGCGCTGTGATACGCGCCAGCGGACGGACGGTTGGCGGTGTTGTTTTCATGGTATTTGTGACGCGCAATCCCGGTTGACGCGGAGGGAGGCTGCTGCGGGCCGCATTGGCTCGCTCGCACAACTAAGTGGATGCAGGTATGCGCTTTTGCCGCACTGCCACGTTGACCCGCCCGTCGTTCACATTCAGGAGTTTGGTCTCGTGCCTTGGATTTGCCACCACCTCTCCTGTGTCCCAAATCTCGCCTCTGGAGGGGTGTGTCTTGTCGCTGTTTGAGCAGATCCGGCTAGGTGGAATCGGCCTCGCAAGCACCAACTGCAACCCCAACCCTGATCACGCGACTCCTTCCTGGGGACCGTCGAGGGGCAATGGCAGCGTCACTACACGGGCAATTGTGGTTCAAATGGCACCTAGTGCAGGACGAATCAGCGGGCTACGCGACACACGTTAGGTGCTGCAACCTGTGCCTTGGATGCGCAAAGAGCATATCAAAAAATGTGGCTGCAGTGGGTCCGCAACTTTCCAATACAAATGTGCAAGCAGGAGAGCTGAAAACTATACTGTATACAATGGTGAGTGGTGCAGCTTTGGGTGTGTAAAAATAGGTCGTCAGAGTATTTAAAGCAATTAAGGCATACGCAATAGGGTCAAAGTGCAGCAGGAACCCTCGGAAGTGTTGGTAAGGATAACGCAAGGGGAAGGGGTGGGGGAGCGTGCTGCAGGCAGCAAACGGGGTGGCGGGCGGGAGCAACACGTGGTCAATTCACTCAGAAAAAATGTGCGCGGGCTGCAGGTGAGGAAGCAGTCTACGCGCGCCGGCTAGGCAGCCCCGCCTAATGCGAATAATCACAGCTTGCGCCTTAGCTTCTGGAAAGCGTGCTCGAGCACCCACTGGCCGTCGGAACGGCAGAGCGAGTTCTGGAAGTACATCATTGCTGCGCCCTTGAACAGGCGCTGCTCGTTGTAGGTGAAGCCGGCGGGGACGGACACCCTCGCCAGGCAGGCGGCGATCGTGTCGTCGCATGAGCAGTCAAAGTAGCCCTTGTCCACGTAGCACTGGTCATGAGCCTGGGTGGGGATTGGGGAGAAGGGGGACAGACGGCAAGCCCCTGTGACAGTTCATGTAGGGGTGGGGAGTCTGGAGGAGGGTGCCAGGAAGCCGTGCCGGGAATGGCATCGCATGACGCAGATGTAGGGTGATAAGGCTGCGGAGCTGGCGGTCAAGCGCCCCGGCTGGCTGATACTGTAGAGTATTGCACAAGAGTGCAGGACATGAAGCCTTGCTGGTGGGGATGGAAACAGCAACCATGCGTCGTGCCGAAAGCAGCTCACCTGGCAACAGGCGTCCAGCGCGTCGATCGGCGGCTGCGCGCCGTCCTCAAACCCGTGGTGGGGCCCGCACCTGGTATTGGGAGCGCAGCGCAAGCCACTGGAGCACAGCAAACAGGGGTTGGTCCTGCAGGCGTGGTGCACAGCGCGACCGCTGGCCATTGCCGCAGGCTGTGTAGGGCTCAGGAGCCAGCTGCCGCTTTGTTTTCGCCCTCACCAGTTTCCATACATGGGGATGCCTGTTCAGGGGAGGAAACAACCGCGGAATTTTGGGCATGGGCCAGGCTGTCAAGGCCGTCACTTCTCGGAGTGCTGAGTCTGCTTCCGCTAATCAGGCAGGACCTCCCTTTTCGCAAAACAGGGAGCACATTGACCGTCGGCAGCCATATGCCCTGCAGCGGGAGCAATTGCGCCCCTCCAACAACCCACTCGGCATCATAAGATCCTGCCGCGCCCGCGCGCCAGGAGGCGCAAGGACAAGGGCCACTGCCGCCAGCAGCAGGAGCACCGGCTGCCGGCCAGGCATGGTCGCGCGACCCGGCCGCCGCTGTGGATCCGCGCTTGCCTGCTCATGCGCGCATGCAAGCGGCTTTGGCATTGGTACGGTGAGTTTTACTGCATGTGACGCAGAGGCAAATCATCAAGTGGCTGTTTGAGCGCACACATCAGCGGTCACAAGCCACAGCTGGCAAAGCGCGGCAAGAGCTGCCTCAAATAACAGTTTGAACGCAATTCATGTTGTTTAGAATCAGCCCTCCACGCACCTGCCTCGACGCGTTGCACGGTCGCGCCGGTACTTAGCGCGCAACACTAGCGAAAACAAGCATCATGAATACACAATCTAAGCTTAGCACAACATATCTGCCATCCATACATTTGCAGAGTCTATACGGCAAGCAGATGAGAGCAGTCTAACCGCCGGAGTCGATGACACATTGGTATGGACATACCGTACATATCGTAATCAATACAGAATCAATAACTGTAAAATTCAAGAGTCTGTACAGCCCGACACACAGTGGTGAAATTGGGCGGCGGCCACCACACCGTTTGGGCGCACGGTGGCGGCAGCGATACCGCTGCTACGCCGCGTGAGCTGTGCCCTTTGCGCCCGAGTTGCAGCTTCAAGGCGAAGTGAAATGCATGGTGAATATCCCCGGCTGGACATCAGTACTTCTGCCAAGCGCAGGTGCACACCTGCAGGCGGCTGTGCGCCGGTCCTAAGCATGCTGACCGTATATGGTGCACGTTTACGGTACGGTACGGTCAACGTACGCTATAACGTTACGTTTACCGTGCCTTAGAGGCAGGGACCGTATGGTTGTGCACACGCGGGCTGGTCAGCTCGGTTGACGGCCGTGTGGCTGCACAAAACGGCGTAAAGCGGCTACTCACGGTTTGATAGAGTAAAAACACCCAATATTACGTAAAGTTGACGATGCGGTGGCCCTTCAGGGCCCTGTGGCATGAGTCAGATCACAATCAAGCGACACTGTGGGATGCCGTGTAACAACGTACCATAACACGTTATAGCGTACGGTACCGTACGTTATACCATACGGTTTAGCAGCAGGCCCCACACGGTGAGCATGCTTAGCCGGTCCTGGTCCGCACCCCATCAGCTAACTTTGACTACCCGGATGCAGGCTCGGTTTGCGTGCAAGTGCTTGATTTGTAATGGGCACACAGATTACACGCAAGCAACAGGTGCTTGAGCAAGGATGTAACTTACAGTCATGTGCAACAGGGCAGGGCGCAGCTCCCAAGGCAAGCATGGCCCAAATGAGCGAGCAGGGCACATGCTGATGTATTCCCAAATCCACCAGGGCAGCAGCGTCGGGCCCAGACCGCGAAGCCCCGGGCCCACTAAGCATTGGCCTGGCTCCACGAGAGCATCTCGTCAATGTCAAACGACGCCTGCTTCCCCACAGCGCCGCCCCCGCCGCCCCCGCTGGTGCCGGCCGCCGCTGGCCCCGCCACTGCTGCCGCGCGCACGGGGGAGGGCGGTGCATCCAGGTTCTGGTGCAGGGCCGCTATTTCTATGGCCAGATCGCACGCGCCCGTGAACCGCCCCCCGCTTCGCGCGGCTTCCTGGAACAGCCCGTGCGCTGGCGCCAGGTGACCGGGGCCAAGCTGGCCCCCGCGGGCGAGGGGCGGGCTCAGGCGGAGGCCGAGGCCCGCGCCGCCGCCGGAAGTCAGGAGCCCCAGCAGTAGGTCGCGGTCGCTGAGGCCGGCCGCCCCCCTGCCGCCGCGGTCGCCGCGGTTGTCGCCCCTGCGCCCGATGACCCCCAGCTGGAGCGCGGTCTCCACTGCGCTCTGCCCGCCCGCGCCCCCGGCCGCGCCC